CACCGAGGACCTATCCATGTCATTATTTACCCAGAATGCTTTGCGTGTAAATAAAATGGCCTTGTCAGTGTAATATATTTTTGAAATTTTAATTTAAAAATGATAAAAACTAAACAGCCTACAGCATTTTTACAGTCTTTATTTTACAGTTAAAATATATGTTTATCAAATAAAGTCTAATGTTACAACTAATCATGGATCCCTTTAAGAGCTCAACTTTCATTTAACAGTACAATGGATTAGAGAGGAGGCTGCCTGAATGGATTTAAAAAAGCACAAGATTTAACTTTATTGTGCCAAAAAAGAAGGAGGAATAATCCAACTCACCCTTAGACTTCCTTAAAGATGAAAGAACACATTTCCCTGAAGGATTTTGTTAATAAGCACTAAAGGTTGAATCATTCATACGTCTGACAACTGCTCAAGTCACAATTTAGCAGGCCATTAAGTTAATATTTAGATTCTTTGCTTCAAACTGAATGTTTACAGCTGTACTAAAAATCTTTTAACTTTTCATATCAATAAGATGGAACTAAATGTTTTTTTTTTAAAAATAAAGAAAATAAAAACTGTCTCATCAGTTGCAAGTCTGTTCATCTATATACAGTAGCTGAAACTCCACTTCTAAAGCCATAAATGACATGAACCTAACTTATGTTCAACAGCACGAGCAGTTTTTTTATTTTGCTGAAGCCTGGCTCAGTGCTGGCCGGTTAGATCTGACAGTTTGCACTTCTGCTTTTACTTGGGGAAGTTTCCGTACAAACACAATCAGCATCGTAAAACATGATTTGAAGTCAAACTCTCAACCAAATCTCTTCCCTTTAGTTAAAAACAAAGAAGTGACCACCCACAATAATGAACTGGTGAACTTGGTTCCTGACAACAGATGTCACCCTCAACAGAAAATACTGCAAAATAACTAAATCTATATCTGACAAAAAAAAAATTGAGATTTGACTCTTTTAGGTGTATTTTATATAAACACATCAAAAATATGCTTCCAGTAGATTTTTTTTTATTCCATCTTCCAAGGAGATCTTCAGTGTTGGACAAAACTTTCATAAGTTGGGATGAGTTGTCAAAAACAGTGTGACGAGGCTTAAGTTATAAAAACAAATCTTATGTAATCAGTTAGTGCTCAGAGGAACAGCTGGGGATCGGTCTCAGCCGCCATTTATCAAATGTTTACTCAACATCTAGACAACTGTGAGTGAACCTAATCTGATGTAGTAGCTGAGAGTCATTCACAGCATGAGCATGACAGCTTGCAATTTCACATTAGAATGCGCTTGAATTCTATAAATCATTTTTGTTTGTTTTGATAATGCATGATCCATGTCGGCGGCAACAAAAATAAATACATCGCCTCCAGCTTTCAAAAAACGGATTTATGACTCAAAAGAAAAGACTCTCCAAGAGACGAGCTCACCCATTGATACATGTCTGGATGTGCCGAAAAAGGTATAGAGCAGAACAGGGTAAAACGAGGAGTAGAGACCATAAACTGGAGGCACAGCAGCCAGCAGGGCGTAGGCAAGACCTGTGGAGCAGGAGAAAACTAAATATTATTTCAACAAAACAGACCCAGAAGCCAAGTGATCGTGTTACAGTGTCAAAACCACAGAGACTGCAAACAGAAACCACGTGGAGCCAAAAAACAGACCCCGAAGGGCTACAGCTAGACGTTCACACTCATTTCTMCTTAAATCAATCCAGATGACAAACTTAGTCCAGCTGACAGACAGGGTACTGACCTTGTGGGAGCTGCACAACTCCCGTGCTTAGACCYGAGATCACATCTGACAGAAGGTACTTCTTGACAGGATAGGATGGCAGCCATGTTAGAATTGGCAGAAAACTGAAAAGTACTGCTTTGGCCCTCGCTGACGAACACCTAGAAAACAAGACAGACATTTCCCATCATCCTGTAAAGAAAATAAAAAGCATAGCATTCCTTAACGGAATCATTATCACCCCCTCCGTCCACAGCAGAGTTTTAAACAGTGATCATCCTCTATTGYTCAAAAATGTTGAAGTCATTTTGGTCAAATATTAAAAATACCCCCGTGCTTTATGTGATCTGTTAGCACTCACAGCATGTGTGTAATGGCTCTCAGCTACACAACAACAAAGTTTAGCTCACTGTTTATAAAACTGACTATCGTAATTCCTGTACTGTGTAAAGCTCAAGTGAAATAGAATCCAATTTTTTTTTTCATGTTTGGCTTTGTTAAAGGGCCATTACATGTTTCTCAGGCATACATTTAAATACTATACCATAATAAAG